AAGACTGCAGACATGACTGGTTTCCAGCTCCACAGACAGAGGAAAGAATATTCAGCTATTCAATCAAAATGAGATTTAAACGGAGGCGTATTCAGACCATTCAGAACATGGGAAAAACAAAAGCGATATGAAAACCCAACTTGTCATTGGCACAAAGACCAAGGATAACCACATTTTCTAATGACTTTATAATTCAGAAAAAGTTTAAATCATGGTCTTTAATTTTAATTAGACATAAATTATTGCATCACAAACACCAAAACTTCTATCTGGAGTCGTTTTTGTAAATAAAGAAGGATAAAACACAAAATACAATCAGGTTCAGGAGCACTATGACGCTCACATCTGTCACTTTGTTCAACATTTCCTCTCTCTGCTGCTGTCTTTACTAACTCTACTCCACCTGTTTGTGTTTGTAATTATTTACATCCTTAACATGTTTTTTTTTGTTTTTCATCCAACAGGAGGTACAACTTCCTGTCCTTTCAAACCCAGCTGGTCAAAGCAGATGGCCACTCGTCCTGAGCCTGGTTCTGCTGGAGGTTTCTTCTTGTTAAAATAGACTTTTTCCTTTCCACTGTCTCCTTTTTGTTTGCTCAGAATGGGAGACTGTGATGAAGTGAAGATTCAACACAATCTGCTGGCTTCAATTCAGTTCAATTCAATTTATTTATATAGCGCCAAGTCACAATACAAGTGGACACTCAGGACACTGCACAGAAATATTCACGTACATAAAAAAGCCAATTAGTAAAGTTCTCTATCTAAAGGAAGCAGCAGACTCGTTGAATCATCACTTCATCACAGTCTCCCATCCTGAGCAAGCACAAAGGAGACAGTGGAAAGGAAAACCTCTATTTTAACAAGAGGAAACCTCCAGCAGAACCAGGCTCAGGACGAGCGGCCATCTGCTTCGACTAGTTGGGTTTGACAGGACAGGAAGGAGAGACACGCAAACACAGAATGGCAGGTCAAGGTGTAACTCCTATTGGAAGACAAAACACATGTTAAGGATATAATTAGTTACAAATACAAACAGGTGGGGTAGAGCAAGTAAAGACTAGGGATGCACAATATTGGATTTTTGACCGATATCCGATATGTCGAAATTTTAAAACTTATTTGGTTGATAACCAATACCAATATTTTTTCCTAGACCTACTTACAGAGACTACATATCTTTCTCTGCTGTGGAATTAAAATACTACATTATGCTGCTTGGTCTTTGTCAGTTTGGCTGCTACCAAATACAGATGCCAAAAACGGTGTTGAAAATGATGTAACACTATATAAATATGTAATATATATATATATATATATATATATATATATAAAAACAAAAAACAGCACCTTTTACATCGCTGAGTTATTTTGGTGAAATGACCGATGTCCGATATTTAACTTTATCACTAATATCGGCCGATACAGATACCATGCCGATAACATCGTGCAGCCCTAGTAAAGACAGCAGCAGAGTGAGGAAATGTGGCGGTTTGTCCTCCAGCAGTCTAAGCCTATAGCAGCTTAACTAAGGGATAGCTCAGGAAACCCAAGCCGACCCTAACTATAGGATTTATCAGAAAATAAAAGACTTAAGCCTGATCTTAAAAGTAAACAATGTGTCGGCCTCATGGACTGAAACTGGCTTTATTAGATAGAGAACTTTTACTATTTGGCCATTTTTCATGTATATGAATGTTTCTGTTCAGTGCCGAGACAACTTCTGTTGTGATTTGGAGATACAGAAATAAACTGAACTTGATCACAAAACTCAGAAGTAAAACAAAATAAAAATTCCTGTTTTTTGTTTTTCTTCGTAGCACTAGTATCCTGTCTTTAAGATTTTAACTGAATGTTAAATCCTTTAGGTGTGAATAGTTTTATGTAAATCACAAATATCTATTAAACTTAAGAATGAAATATTTTAAATGAACTTGTTTCATTTCTTTTAAACACTTTACTAACCATCTGGGAGAGGGGAAAGGCAGATGGGGTGTGTTGATTTGTAAAATAATTTTGGGGGATTCGTTCTCAGACTTGTTTGTTTGCAGTAGATTTAAAAATTGTATTTTATTTTTGTTGCAGAATTATTACCTATAATTAAAAAATCAATCCAATAAAGCTGTAGATTGTAAAGCAACAAAAGGGGTAGATACTTTTGCAGTTTACTGTACACGTGCGTGCGTGTGTCACTGTGGGTGTGCCGTTGAGTGTTTGTGCAGCATATCAGGGCCTGTATGCACGACTGCGCACGTGGAGGTGGGCTGGTGTCCAGAGAAGATAAAGTGAAACCTCAAAGTGAACGAGACAAATGTGCTCTGCTTGTTCTGCCTCCAGGAAGGAACTGAACTTCTTATTTTAACAGCAGGTCCTGGGAACCCTTCAAGGTGTTTTCAAGGCGACAGTAAAAAGTAATCCTGTGACTCATTTCTGAAAAATGACACCAACAGTTAAACTCAACGAGCTCTTTCATGAGTCAGTCTGACAACTCAGTCAAACCTCGTTCAGTTCCAGTAAGAACTTATTTTTGTACATTTATAGAAGATTAACTCCATCAACGATAAGCCTATCTATAAAAATTTCTAGACATTTAGTACTTTCTAATGTCAAATTATACATCAACTCTACAAAAAAAAACAACAACTATCAAACTATAACATCTGGTTGACCTGAAAGTAAATTTTTTGAACAGTGATTAAATTTATAATACACTCTCTATATCAGGATCCATGATTTTATGATAAAACTAAAGTCTCAGTTGCATTTGAACCTAGTTTCAAACCCATAGATATGTTTGTTTTCTTCCTGTAGTGTATTGTTGTCATTGTTTACTGTTTTGTTGTCTGTACTTCATGTTCTGTCTGGAACAGGTCTCTGTTGTAAACGAGTCCTCGTGGCTCAATGAGACTAACCCGTGTAAATAAATGTTGAATGAATGATCCTGTAGAGAAATATAAACTCAGGCTCAGTGGTGGTTTCTGATATGGTGAGAGAGGCAGCTGCAGGGCTGCACGAGCGCCTGGCCCCGCTCCGCCCTCCCCCTCCAAAAAACAAAACGCATTATTCCATAAATCCTGATGCATGCTCAATAATCCAGGTAGAAAAATCTAAAAAAGGTAAATCTGGACCTCAGGATTTTGTTTAGTGGCTGACGACAAAATTCAGAGCGAGCTAGATGGAGCTCCGCTGGCTCCCCCGGTCCTACACTGGAGCCTCCTCAGGCCAGGCAGAAGCACGCGAGGCCGGGGCCCGGACTGAACCCGACCACTAAAACCGTTACGAAAAGTATAATGGAAACAACTCATACTGTGCCGAGCCGAGTCGAACTGGGCTACCGGTCCTAAAGGTACCAATGGAGTAGAGGCATAAGTACTGGTAAATCACAACAGTGGCTGCTCCCAAACAAAGCACATTTCCTTAATAATACTATGAATATAGCCAATAGTTTAAAGTTTATTTGTATGAAATAGCTGAAAAATACAAAAACTAATCTGCACACTATGGAAGGTGAATCAGTTCAGGTCTAAGTTGTTTTGACTCATGCTGGCCAGTGATAACCTGCTCTGCTCCAGCGCCAGTTACACACATGGAAGATGAACAGGTCAAAGCCATCAGGTGCTGTTAATAAAAGAAGGAGAGGAGAAACGGGCAAAAGATGAAAGTATGTAGCCGTGTCATCTCCTGGAGCATGGAAGGTGTTGTGTTACAGAGGAGATTGAAAGTTTGTGAACTCTTTATAATTTTCTATATTTCTGCACCAATATGACCTAAAACATCAGATTTTCACACAAGTCCTAAAGGTAGATAAAGAGAACCCAGTTAAACAAATGAGACTAAAATACGTATTATACTTGATCATTTATTTACTGAGGAAACTGATCCAATATTACATATTTGTGATGGTAAAAGTATGTGAACCTTCACTTTCAGTGTCTGGTTCAGTAATCAGTGAAACTACTACTAGTTCATGGTTCATTGTTATTCATCATATACAATTGTTTCCCTTCCCTTATATCCCTTCACTGGCTCCCTGTTCGTACGAGGATAGTCTTTAAAATTCTTCTGTTCACCTTCAAATGCTTAAATGGCCTCGCACCCCTTTACCTCTCTGAGCTTCTGGAACCTTACGTTCCCTCTCGGGCCCTGAGATCATCCGATCAGCTGCTTTTGGCTGTTCCAAAAACAAGACTGAAGCTCAGAGGAGATCGGGCTTTTTCAGTCATGGGCCCCAAACTCTGGAACAACCTGCCCCCCAACATCAGGCAGGCCACCTCCCTTCCTCACTTCAAATCCCTGCTAAAAACACATCTGTTCTCTCAGGCATTTCACACAGTGTAAATTGATCTAGTGTTTTTTGTTCTGTGACCCTATGTTTTAAATGCTTTTTATTAATTTGTCAGTTATTATTATTATTAGTGTATTGTATTTTTTTTCTGTTTAATTTTACTCCCATTGGTTGTTGTTGTTAAGCACTTTGATAACAACTTCTGTTTTAAATGTGCGCTATAAATAAAGTTGACTTGACTTAAATGCAAGTTCATATCTGAAGATCAAAGGAACCCACATTCGGTGTTTCATGACCCACGATGGATTCCAGAAAAACAAGGCTTAAATCAGTACAAAGTCACAGCAGCAACATGCCCTGCTGTGACCAGTGGTGCCTCCAGAGATTTTCTTAATGAGGGTCCATGTGTGCGTGTGTGTGTGGGGGGCACTGAAAGTCCTGGGGTGGCACACCAAAACGAAAACCAAGAACAGAATTTCAGATTTGTTGTTATTTATAGGTAATTTGACAAATCCAGCATTATGTTTTGATTGTTTTAATTTGTAAGAAAAAAAGAGAAACTTAAATTTGTATACGTATGCCTATTTTATGATTGTCTATTATTGTTGTTGTTATTGTTGTCATCATTCTTTGTTGAAATCAGGTCTCTCTTGTAAATGAGCCCCCGAGGCTCAATGGGATTAACCTGTGCAAATAAAGGTTGAATGAATATGGTAGGTAGGGAATCACCTTCTGATAAACATACGTCTAGCTTTATTTTTTATTTAGTTGATTTTACTTATTGAGAAAAGTATGGTCACTAGTCAACTGAATGATTCTCTTTTAGATACATATTTATATATATAAAAAATGTATAAATCCTCTAGGTGTCCTGATATAAAGGACATTAACAGATTGTCCTTAATTAGGGGGACAGTGGGCACCAATTGGTTTTTAGGGAGGGCCATTGCCCGCCCCCCTTGGCGGCGCCCCTGGCCGTGGACAAACTTACCGAGCCACAGGAGGACTTTAGAGACCTCTCCGAGGGTCCCACCTGATGCAGCCAGTCCGTGCTCGTGCGTGAGCCAGCCGGCTCGGCTCAGCCTGGCCTGGATGTAGTCTCTGCAGAGCGCCTTGGCCTGGGACACGAGCACCTTGTCGGAGGGCGAGCGGTCGAACACCTCGGCGGCGAACACGGAGGAGCGGCGCAGCATCTCCATGACGGTCAGCCGGAGGGGGGCGGGGAGCAGAGGAGCCTCCCCGCTGCCGCTCAGCTGAGGACACCCCCACACAGAGAGAGGGGGGGACTGAGATTATCCTGCAAACAAACACGCAGATTAGATTAAACGTTGAAAACATGGATAAAGGTTTAGAAGAAATAAATAAACACGAGCTGAAAACTTGTGAAAGCCTCGAAACTTGAACGTCTCACCTCAGAGGCTGCAGGGTACCGAGTCCCAACAAGTCATCCAACAATAAAAACAGTTACTGGTCCCGTGGGCCAGATCCCGGACCGTGAGAGTCTCTGAGGGTCCACAGCCAGACCGAGCCCAAAACAAAAACCCGGGCCCGGTTTCTGACAGGCTCTCCTTCTAAGGACTGCGGAGTCCAAAGGCGGAGATAAACAGCAATTATATAAGCCCCGCCCGTCTGCGCGCGCGCACACACAGCCGAAGTCCCAGCCATCAATCAATAACAAGGTTTTTATAGATTGTTTAAAATATTTCTGATGGGAGCTCAGTCAGCTGACACAACAGTCACTTCTCTACAAACTGTGACATTAAGACACATTTAACACTTACTGGTAATGGTTTAAAATAATTCAGATAACTTTTCTTTTAATCAAAACAAAACTAAATGTACATAAAACACTTGACTTTCACTTTTAGATTTCCCTCCTTTACTGGTTTCTGAGACTCATCATGGCGTCATGTTGTCCCACGTCATCATCAAGAGTCAGGTAGTTCTGCTGTGGAGCTCTACCTGACACAGGTGTAAACACGCCGAGTACACGGGAGAAACGCTTAATGTCCATACATCCACAGTACTGGACCCGACAGCTCGGCGTGGCCTCGTTGTTTTGAAGCAAAACACAACCAGAGGTGTGGTTCTTCACTAAGCAGCAGGAAAATGTTTGAACACATCTTCCTTGGCAAACAGGACTATCTGCAGTTCAGGGGAAGACAACACACCCAGGAGCTGTCAGGACACGCCTGGGGAAGGCCCCGTCTGGTTTACGACACGCCATCGTCAGATTTGATCTCTGAGATAAAATCCAGTTTGAAAGTGATCGGTCAGGTCTTACCATACTGGGTTCTGCTTCCATACATATGCTCAGACTTCAACTGTCCCAGTATGGTATAAAGTTTATTCATTTTAAAAAAGTACAAAACAATTCCATAACAATATAAAAAGATAAAAAAGATTTAAAATGAAAGGCAGCAGAAAGAAGAAAAACTCTTATATCTGCCCCTTTTTTCAAACAATTATTTCAATCATAATAATTTTCAAGTAACAGAACAAAATGAATAACTTTCTAAATTTTCTAATTCTAATACAAAACACACATTAAGCTACTTCATATATATATTTTTTTTTAACAATTCAGCTTTGATCTTTTTCTTAAATGTACACATTGACTTGGCATTTTTTACATCACTCTCTAGAACATTCCACAATCCAACTCCTTGGATTGAGGTAGACCTTCCCTTCAGACTAGTTCTGAATTTTGGTTTGACAAATATTTCTATCCCTTTAAGATTATAACAACTTTGTCTTTTAACAAAATTTCTTTGGATATTTAATGGTAATGTGTTATTTTGAGCCCTATACATAACTGATAAAATACTGTAATGTACTAGATCATGGAACTTCAATAACTTCAGTTGATAAAATAATGTGCTTGATGGGTGACAGTAATGCTTTCTGGTGATAATTCTTACAGCTCTCTTCTGTAAAATAAAAATAGGTTTTGTAAATGTTTTACATGCTTTCCCCCAAACATCAATGCAATAGATTAAATGTGGAACAATGATTGTGTTATACAACATGTACAGAGCTTTATCATTTAATAATTCCCTGACTTTGTATAGTACTGCAATAGATTTAGATATTTTTGTTCTTACAGAATTTATGTGATTTTTCCATGTTAGCTGTTCATCAATGATTACACCCAAAAATTTCATCTCATTAACTCTACAAATCTCAACACCCTCAATTTTAAATGGATCATCAACAGTTCTCTTTTGTTACTAAATATCATGTATTTAGTTTTATCTATATTTAATGATAATTTATTAATTTTAAACCAAGTTTGTATTTTATTAAATTCTGTCTTCATCAATTCCAACATCCGTTTTACATCTTTACCCAAACAAAAATATTGTGGTGTCATCTGCAAAAAGGACACATTTGAGGAGTCCTGATACATTCACTAAGTCATTCACATATAAAATAAATAACTTTGTTCCAAGTACAGAGCCTTGAGGAACTCCACACGTGATATTGCAGAGGTCAGATCTTACACCATTTATTTGTACAAACTGTTTCCTATCTTTCAAATAGTTAGATACCCAGTGTAATGCTGGTCCTCTCACACATCACACATCAGTATCACATCATCTAACTCAGTATCCACATTTTCCTTTTGCATGCATAAAATATATGGATACCCACAGAGTACTAACAAGTTATGAGTACAATCATTCTGACTGCTGAGGATAAACGTTCAGTTTACAGAGACCAAGCATGAATCCAGAGAGTCCGGCTTTTTCCGGTTTTAGGCATTGGTGTGGGAGGAATGAGGCGTTACCCCATGTCTGCTGAATGCAGTGGTTGGGGCTGAATACACACATACAACTTTAGTTTTATCATTTAAGAAAGATTTATATTTCTTCAGTTTACTTAATCTGAAAAATGTTGTGCAAGCTCATTATGTCTAAGTAACACCTAATCGCTAACTGCTCCCCGTGGAGTAACATAGCTGCCCACTGCTCCACCTGGGTGCATCTCACATGTGATGGGTTAAATGAAAAGAACTAATTTGTTCTCATGAAACCCACAAAAACAGAAATTCTAAAAATGAGAATACTGTGAAAAAATCATCCCAAATGTTGCAGGGCATGATTTTTTTAAACTGAGTGTGAAACACTAATCATCTACTAAACTCAAAGCACCTGCACAGGTTTCCCCAGGTGTCATTAAATCGCTTCAGTTTGGTTCAATTGTCTCAGTTCTGTTCAATACGGAGAAGACTGCTGACATAACAAGACCAGAAGACCATCATTGATACCCTCCATAGGATGGGTAAGCCACAAAAGTTCATAGCTAAGGAGGCTGGCTGTTCATAGAGTGCTGTGTCCAAGCACATCAATGGAAAGTCTAGTGGAAGGGCAAAATGTGGCAGGAGAAGATGCACCAGCAAAAGAGATGACCATGGGCTTCAGCAGATTATCAAACAGAGAAGATTCCAGAATCTGGCAGAGATCCAGAAAGAGTGGAATGAGGCAGGAGTCACAACTTCAAAAAACACTAAATTCAGACACATCCGGGAGATGGGCTACAACTGTTGGGTTCATCGGGTCAAGCCACTTCTGAACCCGAGCAAATGTATCTGTTTCCAATTAAAAAAGTGTGCCTTGCATTCAGACATCAAGGTCCAAGGGTTTGGAGGAAGAAGGGTGAGGAACAGAGCCCATACTGCTTGAGGTCCAGTGTGAAATATCCACAGTCAGTCATGATTTGTGGTGCAATGTCCGGTGCAGGTGTTGGTAAACTCTGCTTTCTTAAATCCAAGGTCATCGCAACAGTCTACCAGAATGTTTTAGAGGACTTCATGATTTCTTCTGCTGAGGATCTGTATGGAGATGCAGATTTCATCTTCCAATAGGACCTGGCCCCTGCCCATGCCGCCAGAAGCACCAAAACCTGATTTGATGCCCATGCCACAGTGCAGTGGGTGGCTGTGGCTGAGTGGTTAGAGCAGTTGTCCTCCAATGCGAGAGTTGGGGGTTCGAATCCACCAGCAGTCGCATGCTGAAGTGTCCCTGGGCAAGACACTGAATCCCTCATAGCCTCTGATGTGTGTCCCATCAGTGTATGAATGTGATAAATCTCTGATTAGTCTCTTTAGAATAATTTGTTGAATTAGCTTTAGAGAGATCTAGTAGAGTGCTGTATGAATGGGTAAATGAGGCACAGATTGTAGTGTAAAGCGCTTTGAGTGTCTTGAAATAAGATAGAAAGGTGCTATAAGTACAGTCCATTTTGCTTGACTGGCCAGCCAACTCTCCGGACCTAAACCCCATTGAGAATCTATGGGGTATTCTCAAGAGGAAAATGAGGGAGGGGCACCAGACCCAACAACAAAGAAGAGCTGACAGCAAGCATCAAGGAAATCTGGGCGTCCATAACTCCCAGTCAATGCCACAGACTGATTGTCTCAGTCACATCGAGGCAGTGATTAAGACAAAGGGATTTCCAACCAAGTATTGAAGATTAACATATCGTTTTGAAAATACCATATTTTGATTGATTTGTTGTGATCCTAATCGCTTTCTTTTTTTCTGCAAAAACTGAGAAGTAGTGTGGGCTGATTTCTCCACAGTATTCAAATTTTTTGAAATCCTGTTTTCATGGGTTTCATGAGCTGGAAGCCCAAATGATGTAAAAATAAACAAATACTTGAAATCGTTTAAATTGCGAGTCCTGAATCTATCATCTATTACAGATTAACTTTTTAAATGGAATTATGGAAGTTAAACAACTTTTCCATGATATTCTATTTTTTTGGAAAGGGTCTGTATTTCCTTCTAAATTAATCTATCTGCATTAAGTGCATTTCAACGTGTCAGTAGCTGTTCTGTAACTCTGTTTCCAGGTGTTTCTCCATACTATGTTTGAGCTAAAATTTGGTGAGGTAGTAGCTGAGAGTCGCTCTACACACATCTCATGAGCCCTCTTAAAAATCACATGAAATAGAGCTGAACGTTGTTGGACCAAAACAACTTTAACTACAGCATTTCTTAATATAAGATCATTTTAGCTTGACGGGTTTCCTTCAAGGAATTCGAGGCAGTGTTGTCGTCAAGATCACCTAACTCGAGACCAAGTCAAGACCAAGACCAGAGTGTACCAAGACCAAGACTTTTAGGGTCCGAGACCAAGTTGAGACCAAGACTGAGACCATGAAAAAGTGGTCTCATGACCGGTCTCAAGACCAAGA